CGCAGTACGCCGCCTAACCCGGCCTGCTTCACCGCTGTTAGGTGCCTACCCTTGTAAAGTCCTTTCTTCCTTCTTCAGCTTAGAATAGTCAATCGACGGCACCTCTACGTTGAACAAGCCTAGGGGCCAGCCCCTTACATAAACTCACTGATTGGGTTTCTAGCTTGGAAACATACCTTGCTAACAGTCCTGTAACCCAGTGTAATACGTGCGGAAAACTGGCGAGAGTCAAAGGGTGCGGCAGCAACGCAGCCCACAAGGACCATAACCCAGAACAAAGTGAAGACTTCAGGAAGAACCATGATGATGGCTGAGAGGTCTGCGACTGACGATAGAGCTTGAAAGAAGATGGAAAGATGTTTGATACAGTACCGTTAGCTGATGACGAATAAGACTTTAGATAAAGTACCACAGAGAATTTGTCCTTGCATTTATAGGAATCATGAAGCCCGCTTTGAACGCCCCCGTCATATTGTCGATAGTGCTGCGTTACCGTCCAGAGGCCAAGTCCTTGATGTCTTCGGATTCGGTATTAAGCTCGTTACCGGAAAAGAATCCAGTAGACCACAGCGGATATAACCGCGTTCACCTGAAAATAAGCTGCTTCTAAAGTTGGAATACATCTGTGGAGTTGTCAATAAAGATTGGGCAGACAAAAGCTCCGTGGCTGAGTCTGTGGTCACGAATGTTTTAGCGACATGCACAAAACAACGGGTAGTCACAGCACTGGGCTCTAGAACGATTTGATGTGGATAATCAAGAGAAGTGTACGAGTCAAATGTTCTCAAAAGTCGAGAGATGGGGTCAGGTTTGTGCCAAGAAGACACAGACTTGGGTCGTTACTGAATGGCGGGTCAGCCGGAGGGATGGCAGGCAGTGTAGGCCCAGGAGAATCGCTCGGGAAATCTTCAAAGAGGCTCACTGGCACAGCCGAAATTGCGGGGACACAGGTTGCAACGACTTGGCGGGTTCGATATCGTCGTTGAGAAAGAGCTGCAAAAAAAGTAAGTGGAAGATGGTTTTGGGTCCCAGAGGAGACTTGAAGAAGACATTGACTGAGAGTGAGTCTTTTTCTCCATGCAAAACAAGCATTCAACACTTGAGAATTTAGTCACCATTGCACAAGTTTCCAATTTCTCTGGGGCCCTCTCTATGAAAGCATCCTTGGCATTGAATTCAAATACGTACTCTCTATGAATTGCGCTTCCTATTGTAGCATCCTTCTGTCCTGCACCAAGAAATCCCCTCGGCTCTGCAGCGCGTCGCATGTGGCGTGGGATCCTTCAAGCGAAGCGCAAGATCGCCTCCAATGCTCGGCTCAATCTCAATTCCGGAAGGATTGCTCCAATGGTCATTGTACCAAACCGTACAAGTGCCTTGCAAGTACACATTCTCGCCGTGCCTTTTCAATAAGTACCTAAAGCCACATAATTTGCATTGGCGCTTACAATATCGCAGACCTGGGTACCATGGGTCAGAATTCCAAAACTTGTCCAGAAGAGATTCTCGGAGAGCTCCTTCGAAAGACGTCACATGCGGACAGAGGAGCGCTTCGTAGGTCTCTCCAATCCTGTCGAAGCGTTTCCGTACAAATTCGTGGGTTATAAGGACCCCTTTGTGTAGCTTGAACACTGGCAAGGCCCATTCCAGTAATAGGTAGCAGTGTGCTCGATCCTTCATTATGCGAACTGCCGGTTGCTTGATGCGGCTGCCGTGGGCTGCGAATTCTGCGAAGCAAATGTTACATTCAACAAATGGGAACCTGTTCTGTGCGCATTCTTTGTCGCTTGAAATTGTGCCAATCTTGATCAGTTTGTCGTGCATTTCTGGCCAGGTAAAAGTCTCGTGAGCGCAGAGCTGAAGTGGACCTGGCCAACATTCGTATTCTTTCTCTTGTCCATCGTGGAAATACTTCAAAGTTTTCTTCTCGGCGCTCAAGGTGTGACAACACCAATCGAAATCGCGACCCTCGCAATCCTTGCATTTTTGATTGAGCAGACCGTCGGCGGGCGAGTCGTAACGGTACGTCTGATTATTTTTGTTGACACATTTTGAACAGCGGAGACTGAGTATATGCTGCTCTTTAATCTTTCTGCGCAAGGGATATTGATCTAGTAAGGTTTTCCCTGGATACGGGTATGGCGCGAGTGGGAGATCGGACTCCCCATTATGTGAAGGAGCCATTTCGAAGAATTTCCTCTTGATTAACCTGAGTTGTCTCTGCGTCGGTGTGTCAAACCAGCGACCACTCCAGTAAACTTGATCTGGTTCGGCGAGTGCAGGATACAAATCCTTGTATCTTCGATAACATCGACTAATCCATTTTTCATTTACGGAGCGCCGATGGATTCCGTGACGCTTAGCGACTTCAGGCTTTTCCGAGCGGACTTTAAAGCTTCCACATACGGTGGCGAGGCGATAGGAGACTTGGGGAAAGAACCACAAGTCAGCTCCATTCATGCAGAGAATAATCTGCATGATTAACTCGTCCGGCAGCGAATGGAGTCGTGAAGCTTGGTTCTGCTGCCTTCGTATCAGCCAATCTGGCAAGGCGTCGGATGTCTGTTCAGATGTGGTAACTGTCTCTCGATGGTGCTGATCATCTTGAGATTCTTTAAGACTGATACTTTTCTTCCCTCTCTTGCTTTTTGATAAGTACGGCATCATGCCTGCTCGTGGTAATTGGAAGGGTTGACAGGTCGGTATGAGAGATAGTTCTCCAGGGTCGGACTTTTCATCGTGCGTTGCGTGCAGGAGGAGCAGATTATGACGGCTTTCAAAGCAAGGAGCGATATTAACAATTCCATCTGTGGAATGACTCAGTCATGTTCTCCCCCAAAGTCGAAGAGGTATGGCCATCGCGGTTCTGTGAGCAGATGAACCTTATCCAAAGTAGGTGGTCGGTCTATCAAGGTCTTACTTCCCCTACAACTTCTTGCTATCCGGGTGGTCTTGCACCCACTATTCTTCTTATGCTACAGCGACTACTTTTCCTGTGGCTACACTAAAATAACCTTAGCGTTTATCGTCGCTTCCATCCTCGTCGTCATTTCTATTATCGTGGTCGTTCTCGTTATAGTTGTCGTCGTCTTTGTTCTCGTTCTCGTTCTCGTCCTTATTATCGCTATCGCTAGTATTCTTTGTAATGGGAGTATTCATGTACATAGAAAAGATAAGCGCGCAGATATAGGGAAATGAGGCGGTCTCCCTTCCACGGAGGTTGGACACTCAACAAGCAGTCCCACTTTCACGCCGATGTCCGGTACGACCTCTTGGGGCGGAGGTCCGGGCTCTCGAGCAGGAAAAGGCTGTCCGTTTCAACATTCAATACCTACCTTATGTTGAGGACAGCCGGCCTGGCGAAATTGCCGCGACTCATTGCCGGTGCGGCCCCGCTGATTGAGCACGTCCCACATTATTCATCGGCGACGGCGCCCAAGTCGGCTCCGACTGTTTGGTTCCGCCACCAATTCCGAACAAACCGAACGTGAGTCGGGTAAAGTGGGGGATAACGCAAGCTGTCTCTAAAGATCTGAGAAAGATCTAATCAGATTTGCAATCATAAATCCGTGCGGCAGCCACCGCGGGTAGTGCGATTGCGACACACTGTCAACTCGCAATTGACCCACAGCGCAAGTCTCGTAATACGAGCCGAGCTCCGATTTCGTAGTGAAAGACAATCTGTTAAAGCTGAGGTGTCCTGCAACCGGAGCTTAACACTCATTTGTTCCAGCTGCCAAGACTCACATTTCTATCCCACGACTTCGGATATCTCAACTACTGCCCGACCAATCAATATGCTGCAACCTTTGAAGAACGTCGTTGTCCTTGGAGGATCATACGTCGGTCTTGTGTGTTTCCAGTCTCTTTTGAAACCTGCTATTGCCTATAGAACGAATGCTAACAGCTCGCCGTGCATTAGGCCGCCGTGGGCGAGCTTGCCGCTGCTCTGCCAGCACCCCACCGCGTGAGTGAACTTCCCGAAAAACAACTTTGAAAAGAGTGACGACTGACTCGTAGCTGGCAGATCTTGCTGGTTGAACCGCACAGCCACTTTCATCATCTCTTTGCATTCGTGAGTTGCCAGTATGGACACTGCATCGTTATGATTTATGACTAACCCGCGATTCAGCCCCGTTTCGCAGTGCTGCCAGACCATGAGCACAAAGCCTTCATTCCATACACGGCAGCTTTCTCAAAGTCATCCGACCCATCGCGGCATCAGGTGATTCAAGCCCGCGCCAAATCTCTCCGCCCCAATTCCGTCATTCTGGATAGAGAATGGCAAGGTTCAGGAGAAATTCCTTTCGAATATTTGGTTGTCACAACAGGCACCAGATTGCCAAGCCCTGGAACCATGCCCGGTGATGACAAGCCATCATCGGTCGACACCTTGAGAGCGCATCAGCAGGCGGTCCAGAAGGCATCTTCTGTCATTCTTATCGGAGGCGGCGCGGTGGGCGTCCAGATGGCTACGGACCTTAAGGAAATTTACCCTGAGAAGGAGGTGACTCTTGTGCATTCACGAGAGCATCTCATGCCTCTTTACCACACTAAGTTGGACGAGATTATCAAGGCTCGATTCGAGGAGCTGGGAATCAAGTACGCTCATATCCCAAATATCCCCTCCCGGTCTCAGCAGTCGTTAACGTTTTACTTAAGGTTAATTACCGGCTCCCGCGCTGTGATCCCACCTGGCGGTCTTGCCTCCCAGACTTCAGTCAAGCTGCAAGATGGTCGCGAGCTCTCAGCGGATCTCATCATCCCCGCAACGGGGCAAACACCCAACAACCAGTTTCTCCAGGATCTCAAGCAAACCGGCGATGCCCCTCTTGTAAACCCGGCAAACGGCTTCATCAAAGTACGACCGACTCTTCAGTTCCAAGATCCGGCATACTCTCACATGTTTGCTGCTGGTGATATTGCCGACTCTGGTGCGCACAAGGCTGCCCGACCTGGTGCCGGGCAAGCGAAGGTGGTCGCCCAGAACATTCTGGCTATGATCAACGGCCAAGAGCCGACGGAGCACATTGTAGTTACTCCTCCGGCAATTCATCTGTCATTGGGACTGGTAAGACCACACCTCCGGGTAACTGTTGAAAAGAAGTCGCGCTGACCGAGGCCTCCTCTTTCCCCCGACATAGAAAAAGAACTTTGTGTTCAGAAATCCCGATGTTGCAGCAGGACAGACTGAGCCAGCAGTCGTGCCGCGAGAAGAGTAAGCCGCAACCATTTCATGGGCAACTATTACCATGCACTGACTTTTCATTCAGGGGAACAGCAGACATGAACATCGAGGGTGTGTGGGAGCGAAGAGGTGTCCGTGTCACCGACCCCAGAGAGTACCACCTGTAATAATAGAAAGAGTGGAGGCCACTCACTGTTGTAAGTACCTGCAGAAAAAGACGGCGAGATGTTCCGATGCATAATACACCGGTCGTTAGATAGACTTAGAGGTCGATCAAGCAGTTGTCGCAAACCAGTATATGTTGACCAAAGAGGAAAGACCAATGAAATAAAAGAGAAATAGTCTTCCAGAGGTGTTTTCTAGCGAAGCCGGTGACACAGACAGGGGGGATTTGTTCAACAGACCCACTGTTCCGGGAACGGTTCCGACAAGTATCGGAATGACGCCCCAAGCCCAGACCTGGTCGATGTTCAGGCTGAGACTGCTGGCCAGCATCGTGAATGCTCTCAAGATATCTAATTCTCCTATGCATTGCCAAGAATCAGAAAAGCGGCAAATCAGACCAATTTGGGCTGGTATAGCCTGTTGAGCATACAAATTCTGCCTTGTTGGACCGTTGCTGCGCGTAGCCCCGCCATCGGTACCCGCCAGATGGCTCTCAGTACGGCAATCAATGCCCTGTTTAGCACTTGAAGGCTGGCGTTCACAAGCTTACCCTGTCATCGGGCGTCGCTGTGCCGCTGACCAACCTCAACATTTGGCTCGGCTGACAATGGAACTTTCGACATGCTGTGTTGCGAAGGACTGTGAACACACCGTTCAGATCGAAAGTCAGGCTTCTGTAGTTGACAGTAATGCATGCACACACCGTCATTGATAAAAGCGAGAAAACCAAACGGATGCAGCTGTGTGTGGTGATAGACTTACAAGTTGCGGAAAGGCAGTGGTGCGGATTGGTGTGGCTGGGTCATGCAACTGAGCCAACAACGAGCTAGGGTTGCGCAAGATCCATCTACAGGGAACCAACAGCGAAACGCCAAATCAGCAGGGGACCTCCGCCTGTGTTGCAGACGATCTGGTGGACACTGGGACTTTAGGCAACAATAATGAACTGATAAAGACCCTTCAATTGCATCTGATCCGCGCAAACATCAAATAGTCTGCCCAAGAAACTCCCAGTCAATTTCAAGGACTCAGTGACCACAATGTCAACATCTCTCTTCGTCATTTTCACGCTGCTACAGCTTTCTAGTGGCTGTGATCTGCTCGATGGCCGAAAGGACTACGCCAACCGAACCTATGGACAGACATGCGTTGAGGCAGCCGGGGACGACAAGGAATCTCTGGCAGTCTGCCTTCTGCAGAGGAATTCGATCGACAAGATACTTGACTGTGGGGTACGGGACGATAAGAGCAATCATGCATCGGGCATGTTAGATGCGAAGGAAATTTTGGAGACTGTCGCTGGGACATCCAAGTGCGAGGAGAGTTGCGAGCTTTCGTCGGTGTTGCAGCGATGTCCACAAACGGGCCGAGAGGCGTTTTTGGGCTGTCTTTGCTGCAATCTCATGAAGCCTGAGCAAGTTCAGTGTCTTCATCGTTGCATGTCAGAATACCCCCGCGTGTTCATCAATTCAGAATCTTCGAGAGAGCCAAAACCCCTATTCACTTGTGAAGCCAAGTGTTCTTATTTGAGTCAGGTACGTACTCGCGTAATGTTGCAACAGGAAAAATAACTGATACATTTTGTAGCCGAAAGAATTAAGAAGAGGTGTCGAACACAGCGAAGAATCACCTCAATGCTCGTTCACAGTCATCGACGGCCACCCCCACTCCAACGACGGGCTTAACTGCCCATTGCCATCGAGGGAGGAACTTAAAGACGGCCTTATTCTCGGCAGAGCTTTGGGTGGCTTGAGAAGACCAGGCAGACCTGATATCGATACACCTCACAATCCGGGTCGGCCTTACGACGGACAAAGGGGAGGTGGTCAAAGAGGTGGAGGACAGAGAACCGACCGGAGTCGAGACTTTCACGCAACATCAATACAAGGGGCTTCGCAAACAAGATCAGCGGCAGAAGCTACATCTAGCTCTGAATCTGGGGAGGATCCTGAGGTTGATGATGGATCGGAACCGACAAAGTCGGCTGAACAGAGTTTCCAGGCGTTTACACGTACCACTAAGTCTACTGCCACGACGACGTTAGCAACGACCCCCAATGGTGTGCCGACTAGCACGACCACGTCGCTAAGTAACTCTGCTGCGATGAAAATTGGCTCCTGGTCGGCGACAGTGCTTATTTTGGTGTTGATACAACTCACGAGGTGATTTGGAGAGTCCACGCCATATTCAAGATATTAATAATGTGAAAAGGGTGAAGACGGCGGCTGCAAAGCCAGTTTCAGCTTTTTGACGTCGTAAATATTACACCAAAAAGAGTTTCCATTTCAAGCCTCCTTCAAAGAAGAGCCTTGCTAGCCTGGCAGTGTTAGTTAGCTGCCTTACCCAGGCATGATCGTGATACATCCAATACTTTTTCTATAAGGACGACAGCAGCATTGAAACTAGTAGGGGTAGTGATAACAAGAACGACGAGGATGATGACGACGACGATGACAAAGATAGCAACGACGACGACAATAACGAGGACGAAAGTGAGTACACAGGAGACAAAGTCGCTTTAAGAGGATATACGTGTGTATAGACACTGCCTGGATAGCCAACTGACACTGCTAGGATAGCAGCACTCTAAGGAATGCGACTGATGCATGCTAAATTGTAAGCCAGCGATTCTGAGGTTCCCTGCCTTTCAGACAATGTCTTTAGTGTTTTGCCGGCCATCCTCCTTATCTTCACTTTTGGTGTTGCCCTCAAACATCTCCGCGGCAGCGTCCTCGTGATATTCACTCCCAAAATTAAAGTCAGAATCGTAGCTTCGGAGGCTAGGACTTTCATCCAACTTAACATCCAGCGACACGTGTCCGGAATCTGTTGCGAAATAATCATTCCTCGAGAAGTAGCCCTCGTTTCCCACACCCTTGTGAACAGATCGGCGTAATGTCAGGTCATTCAGGGCAGATTCGGCCTGCGCCCATTGCTCTGATTCTGGCAATTCGAGCATTTCAAACCAGACATGCATGCGCCATGGAAGTATTGGCGCGCTTGGATCCGCTGGTTCCGATTGTTGCAAGTAGCTTAGTTCATAAGTACCAGATGCAGTAGACCCCTGCTCATACTCAATTGGCATGTCTGCCCAAGGCAGTGATCGAAGTGAAAAGTCATGGATGTGTTCCAGAATGTGCCTGATCAAGACTGGGGAGTCTAGTTGACCGGTCACGCTGCAAAGAGGACATACATCGAGTCCAACAGAGATACTACAAGGCCATAGTGATACTGTGCCAAGAAGCTGCTCCGGAAACGAGTCGGCGTGCTTTTCTCTCACATGCTCCGAGAGTTGTTCAGGGGAGGTGTACGTAGTTATGTCGGATTCATCGCAGAGCTGACAATTCCAGGTTTTCGCATGGTGTTTTCTTACATGCGCTTTCCATTGTGCGACTGACCGATAGAGAACATGCGGTCTTGGGCAGTCTTTAGCGATGCAAGTATACGGATTAACATCTGCCGCAAGATGATCTCTGATATATATTTCTAGCAATGGGTAAGCCATGAGGGCTTGTTGTAGACTTACTTCCACAGACTTTCGTTTTCTAGCATGCTGTGTGGTAGCGTTTCGCAGCAACATGGGCATTTCAACACTGTGGTCCCATGCAGATTATCATGCCCATCACCTTCGATTTGCGGTCGTGGCATGACAAGCCTGGGATAGTCTGTAGCAGTCCGGATCAAGCTTCGCTGGGTTTGAGGTGTTTCAGCGTCATGGGACTCGTTATCAATACACAATCCAGTGGTGAAAGACGTAGACGCTTCAGGTGATGTAACAAGTAGTGATGGCTGAAATTCTGGTCGAGTAGAAATCCCTGGTGCTGGAGGCGAGGCTATGTTCTTCTCATTCATCGATGGTGACTGAACTTTGTCTAAGACCGATGTGATTGAACTCATAGTCTCTTCCGCATGAATGGGGGACGAGATGTGTTGGCGAGAGATCTGGTCAGAGTCCTGTTGAGCTGCAAGAAACCGTTGCCGTCTTCGGAGATTAGCTTCAATAAGCCGCTGTTGAAGTGGAGTCAGGCTGTCGGAACTCCGGTCCTGCCACCAAAGTTGCTGCGTTTCGTGACGCTGCCGAGTACTGTCGTTGAAGACGGTTGTATCAACCAGTATCAGATACTCAAGATGTTTCCTCAAGTCGGCCAAAGCTGATGAGTCAGAATTGTCGTCCAGCTTGAAACGTCGAGTCTTTCTCCTTGTGTGGCGAATAGCGATAGCGAGGAGAGTCAAATTTCGAATTGCAGAGTCCACGTTCCGTTTAGATTCCTCCAGCAGGTCTCCCCCGTGGATAGTTGCGCATTCCATACGGCATGACCCTAACTTGACCAGTAGGTCTTTGACAAGCTTTAATTCGCGTGGCCTAACATCCAGACCAAACTCAAATGAGGAGCTCAGGCCTGCCATTCGGACATCAGTCATAGCGGCCATCCAGATATTGAAATCCGCTTGGGGGTTTTCGATCCAGTGGTTGGCTTCCAAAGACTTTCGAGAGCAACAAGTATTAAATACATTCAGGCAAACATTTGCCAGTGCTGTTGCAGACTGTGTATTTGATGTTCTGGTGGGATCACGTTTCCCCCGAGATTGATGCTTCGAGCTCTCAATTATGGGAGGCATTATCTTTGAACGGGTGACGGGTGCCTCAGACGAATTAAGAGGCTTTGTTTGGCTGCCTGGGATAATTGAACCTCGAAGGGGATAAGCGTGATATTGCTCATCACCTTCTATGGTGGAAGAGTAGCCGTAATGGCCGTCTTCACCAGCATAGCCAGCGTCGTAGGCCGCTATGCTTCCCTCGTAGTCGGATCTGGCAGTGATCGGAATAATTTTGGGTCTAAGCTGAGAGTAGCTCGAGTCGCTACGGCTTTTGCGGGGCCTGTAAGATTTAGACTCTTCGTAAGCTCGAGACATAGAGGGACCGTATGGCTCGACGTAGCTCTTACGGCCAGAGCTACCACTAGAGACACTGCCCGAATCTCTTGTATCCTTGTGATCGAAC